GGTGAATAGTATAAAATCCACTGGTTAAATGATAATATCAAGATTGAAACACTAATCTAGAACTCCAACGATTTGACAGCGACATGAACAAATGTACGTACAGTACTGTCCCCAAATTTTATTACAGTCGTTGTCGCCTGCTATCAATTAATGCGAGCAGCAGCAGCAGCATCAGTATCAGTCTCTATTGCGTCAGCAATGAATAGAAAGCTCTTAGTCTAACCTAATTGCAAAAGCACGAATTATGGAGAACGCAATATACGTCCATGACAGTAACATACTACTTGAATTTGGGATTAAAAAAGAAAGCACCTTTTGTTTTACATGCATGCATTGTATTTCAGTGATATATCATAGCTCTCTTCACTTCATCATTAGGACATTGCAGCAAGAATGTTTTTGCTATCGTACTATAAGCAATCCATGTAAAAAATAAAAAGCGAATACCCTCCATTCTATTATTAGGCTGTTGAGAAGCAGGAAATCGCTGACTCGCTCTATGCTATTTGGTAATTTCCATCAAGATATAAAAGCATAGCGAAAAATCAAACCGTAATACCGTTAATGCCAGTACTGGCATTTGTCTTAAACTAACAGTAAATACAATAACCTCCATGATTCAAAATAAGATCCTACGTGTCTTGATACATGTAAAGAATCGGATGCGGTCGCATCGTAATTGGAGTATAATACCGTCAATAATAACCAAATTGTACATATCGGTAACGGCATTGAAAATCTTCTTTAAAAAAAGAGTACTGTAACAAGCCAATTTTACTTTTACAGCTACAATTGTATCGCTATTTCTGTGATACTAACCGCCAAGAATCAAAATCTTTGGTTTGTTGCAGTCTTGCATGGTAGACCAAGCTACTTTCAGAGTTGAATGTTAATTTCGACACTGTTGTGTTAGGGCATAAACTGAACCGAGTTGGCGATATTTCGATTTGATTATTTTGAGCTTGATTTCTATTCAAACATGCTGTACAGTATGTAGAGTACAAGTATCGAATTTTTCATATCAGATTCAGGGCCAAGCAAGAAGCATTGGACAAAACCACACGGGTTTAGTCTTTTCTCTAACATCAAGTCTACTGCACAGTGCAGTACAGTACACAGTACAGTACAGTAAGTATTCTCGTTTTGGTATTCATCAGACAACCCACATGGGTTGTCTCTTTTCTCTAAAATCAAGTATACAGTGCAGTACAGTAAGTATTCTCGTTTTGGTATTCATTTGACAACCCATGTGACTCTAAATCAAGTATACAGTGCAATACAGTAAGTATTCTCGTTTTGGACAACCACATGAGTTTAGTCTCTTCTCTAAAATCAAGTATACAGTAAGACAGTAAGTACAGTATTCTCGTTTTGGTATTCAGTGGACAAAACACCCGGGTTTACCCTTTTCTCTAAAATGAAGTACAGTATTACTGCAGTGCACAGTAAGTATTCAGGGTGTAGAAATTCGATCTAGATTTAAAAAAAACAGATAAAATGATCAAAACTTTAAGCAGATATACAGTTTTATGGGTTTTATTCGAAAATAAATCATAAAAATATTCACTGACTTATCTAGAAAGAAATTCTACACCTTGTAAGTATTCTGGTTTTGGGCAAAATACATATAGTACATGTACTGTACAGTGTACAGTACGTAGGTTTAGTCTTTTCTCTAAAACAAGTACTGTACACTGTACAGTACAGTACAGTATTCTGATTTGGGTATTCAGTGAAGTACTGTACTGTACTGTACAGTACAGTACGGAGAACTCTAGACATGTACTGTACAGTCCTGTACTGGACGGTATACAGTACTGTACTACAAAGTGTACAGTACAGTACAGTACTGTACAGTAGGATCCTTTTCCAAACCGATAAATCAGCACCTACAGTACAGTACTGTATTTTAGTTAAGCCGGCATTTTGTTCCCAAATCCGCTCCATTTTTATATTTAACTTCATATTAAAGAATTGGACACCAAAAAGATCACGCTGTACTATATGTACAGCAAGTGCACATCTTGTCATCGGCTTGCCTACAGTACAGTACAGTACATGGCTTGTGATGCACTCAAGTTGGATGTGTTACTTTATATAACACTAGTGCAAACTCCCGTCGCTTTGCTGACGGTTTACGATAATGTGCTCATTTAACAGATAGTATTACCATTTGATAGACCTGTCAGATTAAAATAAAATTAATAGTACAGTATAATAAGATTAAATTGATGAGATGGGTCACGAGCGAAATATTTCAATCGATTGAAGAACTAGAATATCTTGCACTTCATTAGGTTAAGCACCTCAATATCGCGACGTATATTTAAGGGTAAATTCTAGCATTTAATGAAATACAGTATGAAGATTATATACGTACACTACGGGAATGTAATCATACTTCTTGTACTGTAATGATTAGTTCAATCACACTACCTACGGCAATTAGTGTGGACAAACGAATAGTGTAGGTTCCTAATTAGTGTTAACCACGTTAAATATGGTATTACCCAAAATGTGCTAACGACCCACACTAAATATGATATTACCAAAAATGTGCTAACTACCCACACTAACTGCCGTGCCCAGAGTCAGTGTTGGCTGATTTTAATACAACTATGCTACGAAAGTACCGATATTATCAAGTCGTTTTGCAAAATGGTTTCAACATTTGCAAATAATGAAACAAAATAAAGATTTTTCTAGCCTAATAGTAAATTGTCATTATTTAAGTTGTAATACATCAGTTTCAAGTAAAGCCTGCAGGACATACACCATTCGAAGAGCTTTATTTCGCATTCTGTGAGGGCTTAGTACGCAATTACTATTATCAGCTGATACATGCACTTAGCGCCAACTCACCACCAAGGTACAGAATTAACGTCGCTGCCACTTATAGCATCTGCTACTTATTGTATTACACGAGTGTCCAGAGATATTCGAAGAATTTCAAATAAAGCAATTGAACTTCCAACTATTTACAACGGAATGTATCTTGCATTCTATTGCAACTGCAATTGCAGCGATTAGAATTCTATCGTAAATAATATACTTGTTGTAGTTTGAAGGTATTCTTATTAATTGAACTTTCCAAGACGATATTAACATTGAGGTTTCTGTGGTTTTCTTTATTTTTCATACAAGAAAATTGGCCAAAGATTTGTTCACCTATGGATATACAGTACATACCAACATTCGATAATTTTGCTTCAGGAAATTTTCATGCAGTATTAGAGTAGTAGTTAACTTGGATGCGTGATTAATATATATTTCATTTACATACCTTTTTCAACGTTAAGGCGATCGCGTAGATGAAAAATTGTTTGTCCCCAATGAGTTGCAGGCGCACAAGGTCCAGTACTAAATGATTCCTTTAAAATGGAAGTTACATAAAAGTATAAGAGTAATAGCTACTCTCCAAGGACAAAAGTCATGATTTAGCTTCATCTTACCGTCTTGGAAAAGAATGTATCAAAGTAAACTACCAGCGCCTAGGAAAGAAAAATTATTATCACCATGTGAGAAACAAATGCAGTCAATAACAGCCGGAAATCAAACAAAATATTTAAACATGAATTTTATAGCACTTTTATACATTATAGATATATTCATTCTGGGTATAGAATATCTGAATCTTTAAAAACAAATACTGATAGTATTACTAAAGGAACTGCTTTGAAAAGATTAAATCTCTAACCGTTATACACCCTGCTTGATTTATTTTGAGAGAAATAGGACATTGGAAATTCAATTCATCGACTTTGACACTACTAACATCTAAGATCTAAAAGTTGACATAAAATTATTCAATCCATTAATGAACAACGTCAAGGAAGCTTACAAACAGATTTCAGAAATAAAGTTGTAACAACAATTTGCTTCTTTACGACCTTGAGACAGCAGATATCACTAATAATAGTTTCGGATTTTACTACGGCGATATCAGCATCGTCTAAAACGGTACTTTTTAAGCATGACATCTTAAAACCTAGGACAAAAAATGATAAAAGAATTTCATTGTAGTTAAAGCTTCTCAAAAATTGAAATATTTCAGCATCGCACTGGTGCTTTCTACCATAAACATTATCCCAAAATTCGATGGATTTATCATGCATAATCTTGTCATTGATTGCAACCGCATTTAAAGAACAGGAATTAGGATAAACTAATATTGTATACAAAAAAGTCATAACAAGTCAGTAAATGTTTAATAACGGGCAATAAATATATATAAATAAATTTATTAAGAAGCGTAGAAACCTTGACCATCAACCGTTAACCACTTTTCCCTTGCGAAAATTACAGAATCAAGCATAGACTCAAAAAGTAAGCAGTATCCCTGCATTCGATCATAATAGAATATTTATTAATACACAGATACGCTTTCCGTGTTTGATTGTTATTCCTATTTACTCATATAATGTATTGCACTGTTATATCTAAGTACTACTTACCATCCATTCAGAGATGATAACATCAACCTTTATAAGAAAACAAGCAGTTTCAGTATCCATTTCGTGTAGTAAAATCCAACATTATAAAGCATAAATAGACATTAAAATCGTGCTCGTGCAACACAATGAATGGTGAAAGGAACAAAAGATTAGAATTACTTTTTCAATCGGTAATTTGACATCTTCAACTTTTCCTTTTATCAAGGTAATTTTGTTCTCCAACTGATTTTCCCTATAATGTAGTTATTAATTACAGATATAGAGCTTAAGTTTTAAATAAATTCTTTAACATGTATTCTTGCAAATATAGATTTACATAACAATGTCTCTTGCGTAATTGATGATATCGGACTGATCAATAGCATAAACATGACGACAACCAGCTTTTGCAGCAAACATAGACAAAATCCCAGTACCGCATCCAACATCTAGAACAATCTTGAATGTATAAGTTTATTAGTGATAACATTATCGAAAAATATGTGAACAATTATTTATTCTACAGCTTTTCAGTAGTAAAAATTCTGCGCAATATGCTAATTATACCTATACATTTGATTATAACATAATCTGCAATCGAAGCTACAAAATCCAGCATACCTTATCTCGAAATAATGCAGGGTTATTTAGAATAAAGTTCATGTAAGCCTCAGTTCTAATTCTATCCTGCTTACGATAACCCGTGAAATGATTAACAACTGATCAAAGTTAAATATCCAGGACAAAATGCCTATAGATCATGTAAATCACAAATACTAGAAGCACCTTCAGCATTTCTTCATGAATCTGTGTTCCCGAATACGAGTTAAAATATGCGTCATCACTTGAGCAGAACCTTAATCTAAGTCCATAAAATTATAAGCGAATTTCATCTCTTTTTAAAGGCGATGCTGATTTCAATACAACTGTAACTGAATATTGATAACGTATTATTTAAAAAATTCGTGATAAATTTATTATGACTTTTACTAACTCGTCTTCTTTAGCGTCTTCTTTAGCGTCAGTAGTATCAAGTAAAATTTCCCGAAGAGTACTCCTGAAGTGTATTTATTATATTAGCCAATACAAATAGCTACAATTATACATATTAGTAACCTCAACTTATATAGATCAGTAGAAGCATTACAAAAGCAGTCAGTATAAAATTTCGGAAAGAATTACTAGCCTTGCATTCTCTAATTCGTTTCGCAGTTCAGTGAGAGTACATTCTGCCATGTACGCACGATTCTCAGACTCGGCCAGCCTCCTTGAAAATAAGAATGTCAATGCTGTATCACATGTTATGAAGTTAGCACAAAACTGGTGTAACAAGTAAATGCACTGTGCGTATTTACTTTTCCTGTAAACGTTGATTTTGCAGTTCATCTCCTAAATTCAAGGTAACCATGCGATCGCTTAGCTAGTGCTCATTGAGCCGATGTTAACTCATCAATATAGATCAATAAAATTTACCTTCCATATCGGCATCAATTGCTCCCGACTCGAAAGTGTCTTCCATATCAATTACTGAATTTATAGCAAAATTAGGATAAAGATAACTTAGGTATAATAATTTTTAATGGTAAAATATATGTGATCATCAGTTTACATGTTTAACAGCTGAATAATACATTAAACTATCACTAAGCATTTTTGTCCTACACAAATTTACATGATCAATGAGAGATAGCCAAATTTAGCTACAACGGAATCTATGAGTATGTTAGGATTTGTAAATTATATCTGAATTTTCAGTCATAAAGTACTGTCATACCGTATCTTAACAATAAATCATCGCTTATTACTGGCTTTAGAAAATTTTCGGATTCCCAGGGAATGCTATCAGAAATATTTTCCCAAAAATTGGGTAGCGGATGCTGAAAAGAAATGAAACAATTCCAATTTTGATATCTTTAAACGATAATCTGAGCTTTCGAACCAGACAATAAGTTTAAGTAGTTTCATAACTACATCATTGCACTTGAAAAATTGACGATAGTATCTAGTTATTAAAATGTATTTAAAATCTGTACTAATACCGTTAGTCTTATATAATTTATCAGCTTGATACGTCCGTAAACGTCAAAACCTAACGATTGCAAGGTAGAAATGATTTTAGTCTATAGGAATGCAATCAACGTCAAGATAGATGTACCATATATAATTAGGAAATAAAGACACTTTATATCGTTATTTAGTCACGTGCGTTTCAACGAAGTGAACTAGTGAAGAATAGATTATAATGATAAATAGAGAAAGGTGCTTGCAGCAGTTCTATAACTTTAGGATTGAAAAAGCAATTAGTACATCCTTACCGTATCTGTTTGCAACTGTTTCCAGGTTGAAGTTATGATACTCTTTTAAATGGTGAATTAATTTTTCAACGGAATGAAATTTCTCGCTGCAAAATAGACATAGCACTTCTTCAACATCATTACCGTCTTCACACCAATCTTCCCAGTCTTCGTCGTCATCTAACGATTCATCATCGACGAATTGACCTGGTTGCAATATTATGTAGATAATAACTGAATGAATCAATTGAAAAATACTCTATACAATTGTACATGGTAACCATTTGTATTATGTAGCAGACTTATTTATTGCGTTTTTACGGTTATCAGGCTTGCTGCTGTATATTAGAGTGGTATGTTACAGTTTTAGTAAGGTGACAAAAACAGACATCAACAGGTTGTAGTAGTATTTATGCAATAGAACGACTAACAAATTTAATTGGATGAATAAATGAGGTATCTGTTATTAGTTTCCATGCATGTGGCTTTGTAACAGTATATCATTCTTTATGAAACGATGGCAACTGCAAAGTATGAAGCAGCAGAATCCGTAGGTCACATTCACTTACAATGCAATTCTAACTTTTATTCAGAATTAGGAGTAGTGTCGCATAGCCAAAAAAAAGTAGTACTAGGAAGTAGATCTAATTGTTTACGTGTATTAGAGGTCTGGTATTTGGGTTAAGCGACGACAAAGAGTTACTGGCATACGTACAATGTGTGTTGTTAACAACAATATGACATATACAGTACAGTAGTGTATGCTTGAATTCAGCGTCATCAAATAAAATTTAATTTAATATACTAGGAGTCAATATCGGTGGTATACCGTACACTATAGACTATCATCATTTGCATCATATCGATGTAAATTTACAATGAACAACGCTGCAGTAAATATTCATGTGAGAATATTAGCTTGATCGAGGTAGCCCTCCCTTCAGGCTATACGCGTACTGTTCAGAAGCTGAGCTCTCTTTACTAAATGTTGCAGCTAAAATATCTTACACTGGATTGTGCCGAGTGCTAATTACATCCTGCTTGCTGTCTAGCTATAAGCTGGGGAAAAATGATATCTATCTGCTTTAATACCACATTCTTATTGATTGACAGGTTAACTTGTAAATCCCTCTAGGCTGTCATTCACTTTGTATACTGCACTGAGTAGTTTTATAAAATGGTTGGTTTGATAACTTAGCGATCTGCACTATACTGTACAGTTATTGCAGCATAGCAATTGCCAGTAAACAATGTGATCTCTTTGTTACACCAAGATTCTACGGCATACAGCTTTTTTATCGATACATCTGTAACAGCTCTGTTGTGTATTAAATAACGAACCTTCTGTCAGTGATGGACTTTCCACTTCATCCATGCTGGCTTGTGATTTTGTGGGGGGGCTAGCATTTAGCATCTAGCATTTAGCAATAGCATTTAGCTTGCTAGAGGAGGAGGAGCACACGAGGATTTACAATTTAGAGTACAAGTACTTTACAGTACAATGTACTGTGAAGGTATACAGTACCAACCCGTACTGTACTGTACCGTACTTTGTATTGTAGACGTTATTACAGGCCCACTATCAATCTATTGTACTGTACAGTCTACTGTACTGTAATAGTACTGTAGTAATAATAACACTGGTGTGTGTCATTGAAATGACGTAATTTACTGAGAGTAAAGTGAAGTGAATTCATTACACTGACGCTTGCCGTCTGAGTGGTACTGTACGACTCGTATCAAGCGGTCGGTATCCACGCAACCTATCTGCTGTGTCGGCGATCAAAATAAGATGGACGTTCTTTTTCGCCTATGAAAATCTCAATATAACCAACTATGTCTGAAAGTAAAGCGAATACTAGTGGAAGTTCATTGACTGCTAATAGGAATCTGTTGAGTACAACTGGTGTTGGACTTGATAGCGGCAGTTCCACAGCATTATCGAGTAATCTATTGTCCACAAAGTCTACTCTATTGACCACCGTTGAAGGTACTGATTGAGATACGAGTTAATGGAACATGCAATACTTTCCATTTATCACATAGTATGTAGTTAGAAAGATACTAGACGATCTTATGAAATAGTTGCTTTCTATCCATGATAAATAATAATTAAACAATGTATCCGTAATTCTTTATAACGAATATTTTAGAGATTACAACGTCTAATAGCATCGTCTAGTAACGCCTTTGCGCTAGAGCTTATAAATAAAACAAGGATACCTTTGAAGTCTTGGATCCAACATCATAATAGGATAATGCAATAGACTGATTGCTTGATTTTATTATATTTCCATACAGCCAGACAAAGTCGCCAAAATGCAGCTATGGCGAAATCACATCCAACACCGATGAGCAATCTGTATTCATTGGCTAATCCTAATCTTAAATTTACCAGTTTAGGTGGTACTCCACAAAGTATGCATGTATCCACGATCAGTTCAACCATGAAGGTAAATACTGAATTGAATAAATTAACTCATCCTACACCTGCAGTTGCCAACTTATCACAGCAAAATAACTGGACCATGGGACAGTCAACTGCAGCGAAGAAAACTAATTTATTAAGCTCAAATATGAACAAGCGTCACTGTAGCGGTCACGCTTTAACCAACTATCAATTGCAACAAAGTACCAGTATTAAACCGAAAACGCTTAGGACTCTCTCCAGTATAGATAATACTAAGAGCCAAATTGGTGATGTTACCATTGGGAAACAAGTTACCAATGATGATCAAATATTAAATGATCGATTAAGGTTATTATCTTCTCATACAGTTCATACCTACTTATTATTAAGGATAGTGATAGATAATAAATGGTATAATACCTTAAATTGCGCCGTCAACATTATATTATGATATCAAATTAATTTCTATAATATAAAAACAGTGATATTAAATATATATATATATATAAATATATTTATATTCTCTATCTTAAGCTAATTGGTAATGTCAGTACTACAGTAATATGATCGATTAAATGGTGTTGTTGTATTAGTTCAATGATGTACGTACACTTTAACCTATATTTAGGAAATCCAAAATTAATCAGTAAAATTACGGTCAATGTGCATTGCTGCATATCGAAAATTTGGCCCAAAGTGATTATTTTATTTTTTACATTTTCATGCCTCCTTCGATAGCAACGTTGTCGACGAAGAAGAAATGATTCCAACTCCGGAATACGATCTTAAGGATTGGAAAAGCACCTCTGAAGATGATTTTGACGCAGAGGATCATATGGAAAAGCTCTATGCACCACCCAAGACTAGTTCAGATATTAGTAACTTGAAGGTTATATTCCCTTTTTATCGCTTAACCTTTGCTTACCGTTATAGAAATAAATCGCATGTCAGTCTACTACAGCACAGCGTATGTCAATAATAAATAAATATACCAACACTATACTATACTGTATATAGCCATTAATATCAATTTTTTTTAATTTTCTAGAAATGCTTAATCAACGCTGCTTCCTCGTCATTGATTGGCTCTCCTGATTTTAAAAGTAGAAAAGATTTCACCAGGCGGCAGCTGAAATTTTTAGCTAACAAAATCCAGATTTATGACCCAGAATTCATTCTTAAAGTACGTCTTACATATATTGTATCCCTACTCAAACTGCTCTCTACCTATCAACTCAACTATTAATACACGCCATCGAATATGTCCTATAATGACTGTTATACAACAGATCTAAAATGCGTAATATATTATTACATAATTTTGCTTAAATGCTATATTACAAAAATAATCTAAGGTCCTTTTTAAATTTCTTTGAAGGTTTCGTTGTATACACGCCAAGAGTTAGGAATACGTACTGCTGCTAATTTCTTATTGGCACTGGCAGCTAACATTCAAGCTTGTAGACCTTATCTGAAGAAATACTTTTCTACAATAATTAGACTACCATCGGACTGGATTGAAGTTGCCGAATTATACCAGGTACAATAATCTCGTATAATTATGCGAAATATTATTTTCAGACTATTATACTGTACGTGCAATATTATGTTTTCTGATTTTTATCCGTAATAAATTTCTATTCTATTTTTAATCCTGGCCCTCTTGAAATTAGTCACTACATGATAAAACTATAAGGATAGGATCTTTACCTAAGGCTCTACGGAAGGTCATGGTAGATAAATTCGGTGGCTTTGACGAATATCAGTTGGGTAATGCTATAGATTAGGATGTAGTAATATACAAAAATTCTCAGATAATATAATTGTAATATAACAGTACGCTTGTGTATATATTTGATAGCTAAATATAATAGACAAAAGAGAAAAAAATCAAGCCAGAATAAGAAAACGGATAAAACTTCACAGTTGGATCAAGCGGAATCAAATAATTACGCCTCAGAATTCAACGATATTATTTTCAGTGATGACTCCGAAGACGAAGAAGAAACAGTTCAAATGATGTTTACCTTAAAACAGTTAATTCGAAAATTGCATATAATCCAGCCAGCTGAACATGTTATGGCATTAATTGGAAAAAAGTAATATATACAGTAGATTGCGAGCACATGTAACACTGTAGTAAAAGTAAATAATAGAATCAGTTTTACTGTTGTAAATTTTTTCTGTAACTACATAATAATCTGTGATACCTGTCCACTAGATATCCTGTAGACTTAGAAAGTTTTCATAAGAGTGGCTTGTCTGGTATTTGGAATTCGGTAAGACACTTTCTTATTCTTGTTAATTATGTAACATATAATATGCATAAATTACTTATTCATGAATATTACATATACACGTAACAGGAACGAGCTAACAAGCGAATGAAATTACCAGTTCCTGAAACTTGGGAAACGCAGTTATCATTGCATGGTAATAAAGCTTCAACATGGGAAACTCTAATTGGTAAGTCATTAAGATTAGCCACAGGACATATACGTTACCTTAGTTTACAGCATCTTTGCATAATATGACACTAATGGCATTCATGTTTAGTGCAATGCGTAATCACTTAGCAACACCTATGTGATCAATTTTGTGATTATTTTAGAGCACCAGAAGTTACCATTTATAGCCACTTTAAGGAATTTAAGAAATCTAATTAAGGCTGGGATCAGCGACAAGCATCATAACCGGATTATTCGTAGACTTGAAAATGAAGTAAAGAGTATTTTATCCCCTTGTTTATATACAAATTATTCACGAAATAACGGATTTCAATTAAAATAATGTTGATTGATACCTGATTGGTTAACTGATTAATTTTTAGAATTCAGTTATCAACAGCAAATTATTCCCTTTTCGTTTCTTTACGGCTTTTGAAGCTATCAATGGATATGAAAAGACGTCGCAAGGTATAGTTATTTACGTCCTCAAAATTTATCTACGATACTGAAATATCTAACGGCTGTTATCAGAGATATAAGTGTCTTTTGGGATAATGGTTCTTATTTATTCATATACATTTTTGTTGGCAAATATTTTGAAGCTGGAGAATCTGGTAATCGCTTTAACAGGAAGTTTAAAAAATCAAATACGAAAAAAAAGAAACAGGTTGAGATGTAAGTAGATGTTGGTAATCTGTTTAACTAGCATTGCTGAATATGAATAAAAATTACTTTTTAACTTCACCTTTAGGCAAAAAACGGTTTCTGAAGCGCTTCTCAAACGATACAGGGAAGCATTAGATAATGCTGTAAAGGTAGCTACAAATCACAACGTTGCTCCTATTTGTGGCTCAACCCTCATTTTATGTAATGTTGCTGACGTGATGAAGATTCCTTGTACTGCAGCAAGAGGTCTTGGTAAACCTAGAACGGTAAATTTACCTTATCACGAATTCTTTAAGCTTCATCATAAGCGTTTACCAAATAGGTAATCTGCTTACCACTATGATTGCTGATGAGATATCTGTACTTTATTAGTTGCTAGAAGTTGGCATTTTGTTAGGCTTAATGTTCAGATACTCCTGCGAACAGTCTGAATTCATCATTTATGCTGATAACTGGAAAAAGATTGACGTATTCAACACTAATAGCATTCTTGAAAATACCGAGTCTATCTGCACGCTAGTTGAAGTTAGTGAATATCACACGTTCTTATTTTAATACCCCTAACAGTATAATTGTATACAGCAATGATGTCGATATCTTTCTTTGATTTTACTACAAAGAAATCAATGATCACTACAAGTCCAAACGGATTCCCTGAACAAGAAATGCTGAAATATCTTAAAGACCGAATTCAGGTGTTTAGCAAGCCATTCATAGTCTTTTTATAGATGAGCTATATTTATTTAATACGCTGTCGTTTATTTTCAAACGATACTATTTGGCTATTGTAGCTTGACAACCTCATTCTCCTTTCGAATGGATCAAGCGAAGTGCCTAATCACAGCGTTATGAATAGTTTTCTAACCAAATATAGAAGAGTAGTAAATCCGAATCTACTTTACGTTAATGTGAATTTAAGCGGAAAAGTAACTGGGTGAGTTATATATATTTAAATGCAGTCAGTATTGCAATCTTAATCATTAACATAATAATTCGATATATTCTTACTGTTTATAGATTTGATAGAAATAAGAAACTCAGCCATGAAAATGATGTTTACGTTACTGGGTTTAGCGACCAAATCTTAAAGTTAGTACTTTATAGCCAATATTATTATACTAAAATTGAATTCCTTTGTTGATGTCAGTACTTCCTGTTAATAAGTATACTGCTTACCATAATTATTATTCATACTACTAAATTTTTAAGTAAAGTCGAAACTTTTGATGCGTTTTCAGTCGTTCAGAAATTACTTTGCATCTACAATAAAATATTATTTTTATTCATCATTATAAAAAGAAATAGCTTTATTATGTTGTATTTGTCTAAATTTATTATTTAGAAATATTTACATCTGCTTTTTATACGTATACGTATTTTATAATAGATTTGTGGCTGATAGAGGAGGGGATGGACAGTTAATCAACGTGGAGAATATTGATAATGCTTATAAACTGAAATCTATCAAGATACCTAATGTAATAGGGTTTTTAATGAATAAAAGTAGATCTGAAAAGCTCTCTTGCTAATGTAATATCATTATCTTATAATTTGATCAGGCTATCTCAAGTGTTGATAAAAGTGAGGACAAATCGTATGGTATCGGAACTTTTGATATGTTTTTACCAAGGTCTTTAAAATCTGTCTTTACGATAATTCTGCATTATCAGCTCCATAGATCATTCCCGAAACTACAACATTCTGATGTAAATTCCCTACATTTTTAGGTGGAAAACCGTTCGTGTTTTCATATCATCTACGTTCTTAGATATGCATGGTGAAAGAGATATTTTAACAAGGTATGTTTTTCCGGAGTTACGCGCAAGATGCCAGCGTCATTTTCTGAATATTTTTGAAGTGGACCTTCGTTGGGGTATCAACGAAGCTGACATACAACATAATAGGTAAAATTTAAATACAAGCGTTATAATAAATATAGTAGTAGCAAATTAAAAGATAGTATACAAATACTGAATTAATTCATCAATTTTTGTTTACAGTATGCTCGAATTATGTTTAACTGAAGTCCAACGAAGTGATTATTTTATTGCTATACTTGGTCAACGATATGGTTGGTGCCCTAAAGAGTATGAAGTTCCACCAACTAGCGAATTTGATTGGGTAAGAAACTATCCGCCAAATAGGTCGGTGACCGAGCTAGAAATCCAACAAGCTATATTCAATAACCCATCCGAAGCAATTCGAAAATGCTTTTGTTATATCAGAGATAACACTTTTGAGAGGTAAGCAGATAATGAAATGTTTTATCAATTTATGATCTCTGCTTATGTTACAAACGATAAACTCTTACACATCGTCGCAATATCGATCTTAGATTTCTGTTCTTAATTAACTGGATCTAATATAGTTTTTCATTTTTCCGTTCTAAGTGATATACCTAAGAACTGGCTATTACAATTTGTCGATGATTCTGATATTGCAAAGGAGAAGATCGATAATTTAAAAAATCGTCTTCGGAAATGTGGCGTAGAAACTTATGAAAGGTATTACATGCTGCTCTAAACTTTTCATCTTCTCTACTGCAATGTTATTAACCAGAAATTGGCTTTATTTCTAATCAATTTTGAAAGATATCCGTGTAAGTGGGGTGGTATTGTTGACAAAAAGCCTTACCTAACAAATTTAGAACAGTTTGGTCTTAGGGTTTTGCATAACCTATGGAATGCAATTGAACGCGACTACATTCAAAATGACAATGTAGGTATATTGAACAAGCTTAAACAATAAACGAATTTTTCCTGAAATATACTAAATATGTATGTACAATAATTATGTTAATGGTGCGCTTTTTCTTGAATACATTCAAGGACAATAACTTCGAAGATGAAGAATACAACACACAAATTTCAGTTGTCGATTTACACTCTAAAGATTTTATAGGCAGGAAGCGATTATGTAAGGAATCGAATGATTTGTTGCATGAAAGTGAACAAGGAATTATTTTATACTGTGGTAAAAAAGGTTGTGGAAAAACTGCTTTAATGGTAAGACTGCATTTTTAATAGCAAAAGACGAAAAGTCTTAATAGGTAAATGTAGGTAGGTTATAATTGCTTATTATTTTAATGTAGGCCAGACTAGTAAAAGACCAAATGTCGACCACTAACTGGTGTCATCGAATTATCCCTTATTTTATTGGTTCATCAAGCGGTAGCTGTAAAATAACTAACTTATTACACTATTTTTGCCGGCAACTGAAGCGAGGGGCTGACATTGTTCAAGAAATACCTGATACATATCAGTTCGTATACCATATATATTCTTAATATCGTATGTTTTAATGATATTAAAAGGTTTGTATGTGCAAATTTTCGCAACATTTAGGGAGCTTGTTACATGTTTTCATGAATTCCTTATCCAATCGGCATCCTTTCATGGTAGCAATCCAGTGATAATATTTATCGACGGTTTAGATCAATTGAATTCGTACTACAATGCCAAAGACTTGCAATGGCTACCTCAATTAATTCCTGAGGTTTGTAGTTCAATTCTTTTTCGAGCGACAGTTTAATCCTTGTTGTTCTAGTACTGTAGATAATGCGGCTATTGGAGTGTGCTATATTGACTTTTATAAATGTCACACTTTGTGGTAATTGTTCGATTTCAACGTTCGACCTATAGATTTTAATAGTATAATGTGCGTATTTTTATTTTTAGAACGTGTTATTCGTAGTAAGTGTAAATGAAAACGAAGACTGCTTTAAGAATCTTGAACATCGATCAGACATTATCCATAATTTTAAGCTATCGGGAATCGATTCGTGGGAGAAAGCTACCTTTGTCCGACAGATTCTTCAAAAATATCGTAAAAGTCTTGATGAGTCCAATTTTAATAAACAAATGAACGTTCTAATATCCAAACGTGAAGCATCTAGTCCATTATTTTTAACTTTAGCATGTGAAGAATTGAGAATGTTTGGAATTTTCGAGCAGGTATGATTGTTCAGCGATATAATGTATGTTGTAGTGTATTTAATAATTAATTCGATATTAATAGTGTGCAAATGTTTATACAATGCATATTTCATGCTTTATTAACGGATAAAATTACATAGATCACCGAACGAATTAAGACTATATCTCAAACTATACACGGACTATTGGAGCAAACCCTTGAAAGGATCGAAATAGATCATGGAAAAGAAATTGTAACAGCATTATTTCAAGTTGTACTCAGCTCTAAAGATGGTAATTATTACTGGATGTTACTTATCGGAAATTACGCAAATAAAGTGTCCCTTTTCTTTTATCAAATAATTTCAATTCTTTCTAACTGATGCCTAACGTCGTTTCCAGGTATTGACGAAACGTATCTACCTCTTCTTTTGGGTGTATTAACATTACCCGAGATAAAGAAAGACTTAATGCAGATTTCAATTAAAAAGTTATCACAATATACCACCAGTGCACTACCTATTTGTCCGCTGATGTATGCCAGACTCCTCCGAGCTGTTAAGGAATTTCTATTTCCGGCTCAGCAGCAAGATCTCGTGTAATTTTTATTTCGTTTTACGATTAGTCGAGCGTCATAATGATTTTGTATCTGCTCTTATGCCATCATATACTTTTGTTACGTATTGAACATTACAAATACTGTAATATTAAGAGCTTTATTAACGCGATTGACAGAAGTTCCTGTCAGCTAGCTATTCAGCACGGAAAAATTAAGGAAGTCCTAGAAGCTCGCTACACGAAAATGGAGCGGTCCAATAAACTTGCTTTTATACATAAAACATTAGCTGGTATGAATAACGTATAATAATGTTTCATATTAAACTCAACCGCAATCTTGTTCGGTTATGCAATACTAAAGCATAATCTCGTGTCTTTGAAGCCTTTTATCTGGTAAAAGCGGATCCTACCAGCAACCGATCTTGGGAAGGTTTTGACCCATGGGCTTTTATTGCGTTACCTTACCACTTGGTAAATCAACAATTATAGCATAATTTTACTGCAACCGACTTTAAGTATTGTAAAAATGTACAAAATTCCGCTTTTTAGATTCGTGGTGCTTGTTATAATGAATTATCGGAGCTCTTATGTGACCTGAAATTTATTACCGCTAAATGTAAACTTGGCTTAGTAAACCACCTTATCGATGATTACCATGGTCAAGGTTAACGGACCCAATTCAAATATCTGTAAAAATCATTGTATAAATTTATAACGCTTATCACTATTGAATTTAAATAGTTACTTTTGAAAGAGTGAGTGAAGATAAAGCATACCACAAAGCCATGAAGCAACAAAAAATTCAGGTTTACGCTAAATAATAACTACTCTAAAATGTTTACAAACTAAATGATGTCAATTAAGAACATACCCACACTTATATCTGCAATATACTGTTATACGAAGTGTATTGACAAAACCTGCTTCAACTGTGTACCGTAATTTGCAATAGTAACTTATCATGAGTAGTCAAGTTTAAGGATTGACTTTTACCCATTTTTTGGCTATAGGATTTTGGAAATTTTGTTTCCAGAAATTTAAGCATCCTTAAGACGTAAGTATGAGTTTAGTTTCCTTTACGACAGTAACCGAATATATGTCTAAGATTGCGAATTTTACTGAAAGTATTGACCCGAAATGATTAAGCATTTAATAATCTTTGAAGGAATGCGTTTTTATGCCAGCAACAAGCTCTTAACGAGCCGTTAAATACCTACCCAGCTGAATTAGCCGCTGCACAAATAAAGACTGAAGCTAGGTCTTCGAATAATCTTATTATGGAATGGTGTAATAAGCCAACTCATTGCAACCCATGCTACATGACTCTTGAAGGATTTCAACAGGTAACTTGTTTTGTTCTTACAGCAAGATAGAATCTTCAGAACTTAAGCTTTATTACAGTAATTTTAAGATGTTTGTTATATTACATTTATTGCAAATAATAATTTATTAGTATACTATACTTGATATAAAGTGCTAAAAAAGGAAAGTAATTGCGGTACTGATCTCGTATAGGAAACAATTATTATTGCATTTGCAATATACGAGCACTATTAATAATGTCGAACTGAAGTCAAAAATTCTAGAACTTCTGTGCTCTTGTAGTTAATATTTATAATTTTTGCTAGCCACTCCTAGCCATTGCCATATCAGAAGATGACCAATACGTTGCTTGTGGTTCTAAAGATTGTACTGTTAAACTATTCGAGCTATCGACGGCAAAAGTAACCAAAATTGACTATATTAGTTTCTCTTTTAGTATTTGATCGTAGGGGTAAGATGCGAACAAACACATTTGCTATGTTATCATAGGAATTAAAGAGTTTCGTTGGTCATGCGGGGCCGGTAACTGATTGCTGCTTTATTGGCAGTAAGTATTTATGCAGCGCCTCACTAGACGGTAACATTAGCGTATGGGATTTAGCTAACGGTCACAGGTGTGCTTCGATACAAAATATACGTAACATGTGAAACTTATCTCGTAACCGCATTTATTGCTGGATTTAAAATTAGTCTTTGTACAGTACTGTTTAGAATTCACTTCCAAATTGTCAGTAAGAATTTTTGATTTTTGTATTTTTGTATAGACGACATATACTCTCGCTACACCATAGATCGATATGTCAGTGTACAGTGGATAGAAATGAGAAATTTATAGCATCGGCTTCACTAGACGGGAACGTAATAATTTGGAAAGTTAACGATGGAAGTTCATTTGGCAAATTCAGTGTAAAAAGGTTCGCTATGCCTTTTAATTTTTAAGTACAAAAATTACATTAAATTTCTTTGATTGATTCTAGTATTAAGATGATTTCATAGTTCACGAAACCTATTTATCACTTTCAATTACATAATTAATATCATTAACTTTTAGCAACCGCCCCTTCAATTGCGTATCATTTCATCCCGAAGCACCGTTAATTGTAGCTGGTAATTGGGATACAAATATTTATACCTGGGATGTAAATACGAAAGAACAAAAGCAGGTAAGATACAAACTTTATCGACTACTTTTTTTAAATCTAAAGACACTCGGCACATAGAGTAAGTATTGACGCCGCTCATCCTCAGAATCCTTATTCTAATGATCATACCTAGGTACTACGTGGACATACAGCCTCTATTAGAGATGTCGCATTTTGTAATGGTGGTAATTTTGTTATATCTGCTGATATATCCGGACAAGTTATGATTTTTTCTTTAGCCCACGGAACAAATGTATGATGATTTTGGAAATACGCATTTAGGGTTGTTATGGAGCTCTTCGATAATAATTAGAAACTGTGGTATGATACTCTTTCTAGGTTGGCAGCTTGCATGGTCATTTCTTCCCTATAAACAAAATAGCAGTATCCAGTAATCCCCACGTATTAGCAACTGCCAGTGATGACCATAAAGTAAAGGTAAGTTTAACTCCATTAATATATCATTAAAATCAAATAGAGTATTTAGGATCAGTAATAAGTGTCCACAATCTCGAAATGCTTATAGCTATGGAGGAATACATTAGGCAGGGCATTATTTTCCAGTCATTTTGAAATGCAGCGAATGACTGCGGTTAAAATTAGCCTTAGCGGAAAGTTTATCGCAGTTGGATCATCAAATGGTGATTTATCTATTATTGACCGAAATGTGGGCAATCAAATTTTATCAGGTAATTACAGAGAGTGACATGTATGAATTCCGCTTTTATTACTATAATCAATTATTGCAATTACATCGAGATCTAATCAATTACTATCGCTTTGCGTTAATGCTTCAATTTTTTTGCAAAAGTATTCGTGAATGAAATTTTCGATAATAGCGTAGTTTATCTTTACAAGTGCCTTACTAACAACTGCTCTATACGCATAAACTTCTCTATATTTAAAATCAACTAGTGTTGATATTGATATTTTTCAAACTTAGTTCAAGCACATAAACAATGTATTCGATCTCTAACCTGGTCTCCATGTGGATTAAATATTATCACTGCATCTGATGATAAAACTGTCAAGGTCTGTCGTGTTACTTACCTTTATACTATTCCTGCTGCAACATCACATATTTCGATATTATAAGTTTCGAAATATACATACTGATGTAATTGTTGTTATTATTAGGGCATATATAATATAATATAATCTATTACCAATAGTAAGGTTGCATCCATTTATGACTATACAGATTATCAACATTGAACATGCAGATATTAAAGAAACATTATCTGACCATTCTGCAGCTGTAACATGCATTGCCAGTTCAAAAAAGTATTTAGCTACAGGATCGGAAGACTGTTCTATAAATCTTTACCACAAGCACACTGTGTATCGGTTAGTTATTTCACTGTCAAATGAATTAAATTGTAATTAATAAGAGCTCATCTGCTGGATGATACAGTATTGTTTGTTCTACGCAAAATTAATAGCATAAATCCAAATTTGTAATCATACAATGATTGTCAATTACTTTACAGGCTTGATTCAAATCTCAGTGGACACACTGCATGTATAGCGGCTGTTGATATCTCATCAAATGAAAAATATTTACTATCCAGTGGTCATGATAAGGTGATTTTACCTGTATCGAAAGTGTTCATACTGAGTAAACAGTCTTTATATAAACATCACCTTATTAATTAACTACACTACACATTCATTGCTGATAGGTCATTCGTTTATGAACATTAAAACGAAACGATGCGTAATTGAAAGTCACGAAAGCCATTTAGATTTAATAACAACATGTGCATTTGGTTCAGTTCATGATACTGTTGTAAGTAAATTATTTTTATAGCGATAACTTTTATATAAATTATGCATCTGTTAGATAAATCACAGCAATCGATGTCTTAGCGTAAAGCAAACACACAATAATCATCTAGGTAACCGCATCAAACGACCACACGGTTAAGTGCTGGGATGCTTCGGAACTATCCTTAGTCCTTCATCGTAAGAAAGTTTTGATTCCTGTCTCTGAAGTACATAGTCACAATAGCGCGGTTAATACTGTGTCAGTTGCGGTAAGTTGTGCAATTTAAAATTTAAAAATGTATAACAGTCCATTATGTTTAATTCACTTTATATGAGTATACAGATAATTAATTTGTATTAAATGCGACTTCTCGCCAGTTACATTTCCTTTATCCGAGCCAACATAATTTAATCATTCAATCTGCAGAAAAACTTGATTGCCTCTGCCTCTAGCGATGGAACTGTCGTTATATCCAACCGAATGGGTATTGAAATTACTTCCTTTAAGGCACACTCAGATCGAATTAATGCTTGCCATTTAGTGTTTCTGGATGGAGGTGAGTTTGAAACAATTATGTTAGCATATTTCTATTGTGTTCCGATTTTCAAATTTGAATACTAGGAAGATGTGTACGCTGTAATCATTGGTGTTGTCTGTACCTTCAATTTTTGATTTAAATCATAGATTATTACTTAACAACTAGTGGTGACGATGGCTACGTTAAAACCTGGAGGCCAATACAAGTCTGTTTTTTCTTTCTACTTATGATTCACAGAGTAAAATAATGTTTTCAGCATTCATTATAAATTATTTTTACTAGGGTGAAGAAATTTCTTCCTTGGTTGGTCATTCGGATCGTGTAGTCGCTGTCAAAGTTAGCCACAGTGGTAAAACAATATGCTCTGCTTCTATAGATAAAACAATCAAATTTTGGCGTACGGACGTGAGTTGGAAACTTGTAATATCTTTGTATAGAAATTATTAAGACTTTGGTTATTACTAAATTTAGCAAGAGATATAACGTCAATGCTTTATTGCAGTTTAATCATGTTAAGCAAGCGCATATATCGGCAGTTACAGGGGTGACTTTTTTATTTCATACGAATATCGCTGCGTCTGCATCTAGGTAAGTTAAAAGTATTGAGATGAGATAACAGCTGGAAAAAAGATGAAATCCAACAATTTAATAATGCTTCAATAATAATCGCAATTGTATCATTTAAATTTATTAGAGATGGGATGGTCATTATTTGGAAACTGTTTTACAAAGATGGGAAGCTGGCTCTAGAAAATAGATTACAATTTCAAGTATACATTGCGGAATTTTGCATATAAATGTGTAGCCAATTATTAAATATCCGATTACGTAAGGGATACTTTTCAGTACTAATGCATTATCCCCATAGGCTAGCGATGAGGCTGTAAACTGTCTTCGTCTCTATGGTGAAACCGATAATCATGGTATACATTTAATCACCGGATCAAATGATTGTAAGGTGATAGTATGGAATATAGAGTTGGATGGCAGCCCGACTGTGATGAATTCCATTGAGTACGTTTTTCAACTCCATGTGTAAAACTACAGGAATAATTTAAATGTATAAAGACTTTTAAGCATAATCTAAAACCTTGTGTCATCAGGTTGTCAGCACCTGTTCTATGCCTCAACATTCATAACAAATTACTCTATATTGGAACTTGGTCTGGCCATCTGTCTGTTTGGAATATAGGAACAATGATGGAAGTTAATAGCTACACAAGGTAAAATAAGAAGAAATATAAATGATGTATTGGTGCTTAATAAACCTTGTTAGATAACTAAATTTACATCGAAGACTACAAATACCTCTATAATGTAAAGGTGATTTCTACTCTTTCACTATTCCTAAATACGATAGGTTGAACAATGAATGGATTTTAACTATCGATATATCAAACACATCACCCTATTGTACATGCGGTACCACAGCCTGTTTTGCTACGGTGTATTCTACATCCGAAACCAACAACAAAATTTTGCGTCATGTAGCAATTCCTGACGACAAAGCATCCGAACGTAACAAGCATCATGCTTGTGTTTCGTACTTTTTAACCAGTCAGATATTAGCCATGAACTTAAATATAGAATCAATAGATGAAGTCTTAATTATAGGCGACAGTGATGGTAATATTTTTGTATGTGATGCTAACAAAGAATACCTTCATCGCAAGGTACGATATTTTCATTTTTTCTGTATAGTAAATAATTTTACTAAAACCTAATTAAATTGGCAGCTTGATACAATAGCACTCATAATAAGACTGGCCAAATTGCAGGCGCTGATTAATTGATTTTCTTTGATAACCTTCACTTAGCTCCATACTGCAGCGATATCAGAAATCATTCAAACAAAACAGTATTTAATTACGGCTTCCTGGGATTCTACTATCAAGATATGGGAATACGAAACTTTAAAACTTGTAGGCCATATTACACTATTACGATAGCTCGATTATAATTACCGAGCGTATAGTGATTGGATGTTGCATGTCCGGCAAAATAAATGATTGAATTCATTCCCTTTCTACGATAGGTTGGTAAATTCTATTGCCAATCACCTGTGACATCTATGACTGCTATTATGTCTTGGGACAATTCTGGTATCCTTTGTGGTGATTACTTGGGAAATATCTATTTGCTGCGATATATGTAGCGCTTGATTCTTGATTAAAATACTAGACGAATTTATCCAAGAGTTGCCATCTAGGCAGAAACGAACGTACTGTAAATGCTTAATTTTTCTACGTTGATTTACGTTCAATGAGTGGTACCTAACCATTTATAATAATTGATTTCGTATTGTATGTGGTATATTACATGTTACATAAAGATCCGTTCGGTCAGTACCTTGGATGAATATATATATACCGAATAAATATTTATCCTTATATTCAATACTCAGCATGAAAGCTAATAAGACGATAGGCTATATTTGCTACTGTCCTATCGTACAGTATACGGTGGTATTCAGTGTAAAGAATGCCGTCCGATGCAGCTTGTATTGTGCCAGATTAATATGAAATTAACACAACACTACTCGGATAGTTTACATGATAGGCAGTCACAAGCAAACTAATTAAATTATCATGCGATCAATGAATAATATTCGCTCATTTTGAGTCTAAGAAGTTGTTTATTAGAGAAGTAGTAGTAAGCACCTTCCTGTAATCAAAAAGATAGCAAATGAAGGCGCAAAATTAGCTAAAGTTACAAAGTTTAATATTCCGCAACTACACTGTAAAACTGGACAGGTAATAAGAATGCATTGAATAATAAGACTAAGACTTACAAATCATGGCGTACTACCACTAATAAGAATTAAAAATTATCACTCAAACGAAAAAATCTTAAAATAATTACCTCCATTACGACAATAACTGGTGCTCTTAAACTTAAAAACTACGAAATGCCAACACTTTTTAATGTTAAATTCATTAATTATAGATGCTATTTAAGCACCTCATTAGTGCCTATTCCTTACAATATTTAAACATAAGTTTCTTGCGCAAAGTAACAAAGTAAACGATGGTAAGAGATACATCACGAAGTATTAAACATTCCTTTTTAGCCAGTCTTCTGCAACTCTTTCATAACTATTGATCCACGAAATTCTGTTCTTAATACTTTCAACAGACTGCTTAACAGCGTTAGCACCTGTGCCTACATCAGGATTCTGTCTGAAGAAATCTTCAACCTAGAGAAAGGCATACACAACTTATTAATATACAGTATAGTCATCCATGCAATCTTCAGGGTTGTTAAAATACTAGATTCACTCTTGCTTCAATCTTAAACTTGCCTGCTTCAATCTAAATTGTGATGCAAACCGTCCAGCAGTATTTCTGATTAAGCTACCAAAGGAAAAGAAACTGCCGCCATACCTTTAACAAAATGTACAAATTTTAGTCATAATTATAAACATTCCCTTGATTCGAATACTAGTAAACATCATATAATGTATAAGATTTTACGTTTTCCTAATATATGCCCAATTAGCACGAACGAAGTCCCATGCGAGAGGCCTGCCAACCAAGTTATTGGCAATGTAACCAATAACAACAGTAGAATCTTGGGAACGAACTTTAGCAGGATCAATGGACCACCTTAAGTACCTACAAACAGTTCAATAATTTTTTGAATGTTTAGTGTACGAGAATTAAGTTAATTAATCATTGCAATTGGTAAATCCATCATCAGAAGTCACAATGTACCTATTCAGAATCCACGGTTCCTTTGAATATGACAAAGCATCTAATATAGTTCGTTTTTCGGAAGCGACATTCGTTTTATAGAAGTAATTATACAGGAAATCCCACTCTGCGATACCTCCATTAGCTATACCAAAACGGTATACAACCGCCTTCAAGTTCGGTTTTACGCTAATGTTGAATAGACGATTGATCTCACTATCCCCGCTTTGCAAAAAGTCACCTTGACTATGCAAGTATTCTGTATTTCCAGGTAAAATTAAATATCAACATTAACTTACGCATTATTTGTGGGGTCCGCCATAAAGCGACGGAAAAGCAAAGTTGCATTATCTAAACATGGCTTGTATCCAAATCCACAACCAATAGTTAAGGCCGACATACGCAATAATCTGATTAAATTTGATGGCTTATATCAATTATTGAAATTATGGTAATTTTATAATTTTAAGGTAGTAATTAGTATGTTCAGTTTTTAAAGCTTACTATTAATACATAATTATAGTAAAAAGTTAAAAATACTCACTTCTGAGTATGACTCCCTTTGTCTTCAAAGCCAATCGTGTCCAATAAAGGCTTTAATTGCTTCAAGTAATATTGCTAAATAATAGGGTATATAAATAAAAGCTCATAATAAGCTTATCACATTCATAATGTGAGATTATTTTATTATAGTTGTATAATTAAATATATGCGTCTAAGTATACATATCTGTCATTTACACTAACCGAAAAGTAACCGTAGGATGAACGATATGATATGATGGATCCAATAGCGCCAAGTACAGAGTTTGCAGTCCTCCAAGGAACATAGCTTCTTTCTTTCGTAAGATACTTTGTTGTGCCAAATGCGATGTCGAGTACTTGGAGACTTCAAGGGTTCATTATAATTATCGATCAGTCCCTTATTACCTTGCAAGATTAAAAGCGTCATCAAGTAGATTGGAGAAATCTCTTTTTGATAATGCCTGTCACGCATACGGAAAGCAACGATCAGTATTTCATGAATATTTCAATACGTTATAAGCACATATGTCAAACACTATAAAATCAATCAACATTTTTTAAATGCACGCCATCATTATTGGAAAAACTTACCGGTTGTGTTTTCTGCATTTCCTGGATGAGGAGATTCCAATTACTTACTGGATAGTTAACTCGGTAATAGCCATAAGCATCTTTGTTGGCCTTCAGCCAAGTACCAGCTGGCCAAGCTATATTGAGAGCTATTTAGGAATTTAAAATTACATAATTACCAAACTTGTTGTAAAGTACAAAATACTCACACACAACATTAGATTTTAGATCGCTACAGTACTTGCAAAATACTTTTAATCTATCTAACTATTTATAATCCACATATGCATGAACGTAGCTTACTGGAACTCATGTTAACCATTGCACTTCGAATTGTGTTCGGCGAATTTCCAAGAATGTATTTAAGCGGGATATTCCACTTGTATCTATTAATTTAAAGCAATTAGCCAAGTCTAGCTTTCTGATAAGCTTACGCGGATCAAATTTTATTCATCTTTAATAAATGTAATTAGAGATACTACTAATAATAAATAAATATTATCATACCCATAGGGTGACCTGAATTTTGAGGTTGCTGGATCAACCTCGGGATTTTTATTATTGGGATCCAACAAGAAACGTTTTTGTGAGAGTCGAGCTTGAGAACCTGTATTCGTGATAGTAACGACAGGAAATCCCATTTGCAGTGTCCAAGTATCCATAACATCAGTAACATTTATCCTGTAAGAAATGGCCTTAAATGTTGCCATAATAATTCGATCAATGATGTGCTACGGGCAATTAACTACAGAACTTTATGATAGTGCTTGTAAATCATTAATATACATATCCGATTAAATTTTACCTCCGATAAAGTTTGCCAAAGATCTCGAGTTACAGCATTCCGATATTCGAATTTTTTTAAGTATCTCTACATTTAAGAAAAGTAAACGTACGATAAAGAGATAATCTAAAAACTTTTAAGCCATCAATGTGCAATCAGTTTTAGAATATATGTCATACCGAAATGCCATTCTTGAAATCCAAATTACCCATCATATCTCTCATCATTCTAATGATCGATGCACCCTACATTATAATTAAAAGATTACTTACTAACTTCTATTACAGTACCAACGTTTCAAAAAAATTAAAATATCCACAATTCAAAAATAGGTTTCAAAGAGAACAGACCTTCGCGTAAGAAATTGTGTCGAAAACTTCATTAATTTCGTCGGGATGATAAACAGTAACTTGGACAGGATGTGAAGTTACAAATGCATCCAAAGAGAAGGCGCGCTGTACGTCGATAGGTACAAATTGATCGAGCTATTCAAACAAAGAGCACAACAATTGTAAATTTTTAGCAATATAAAACTATAGGGAAATCACGTATTATCTATCCACTGTGGTGATCATCATTCTCTAATTATTGGGGAAATTTAAAATTATGTATTACCATTTCCCATGTAGGTTGATAATGATCAGTGCCGAGATATTCCATGAAACTAGCAAAGCCTTCGTTAAGCCAAAGATCATCCCACCACTTCATAGTGACTAAATTACCAAACCACTACATGTTCAAATAGAAATTGAATAACTTAGTTCACAACAAGAGAGTAACGTAGGAGCTCATATCAATAATTTTTATTAACCATATGAGCCAATTCATGAGCCACTACATAAGCAACACGTTGCTGATTGTTAGCTGCAGAGACATTTGGATCATATAATAAAGCAGTTTCGCGATAGAGAATTAAACCCCAATTTTCCATGGCCCCAGCAGCAAAGTCAGGAACTGCTACCATGTCTATTAGTTATTAAGGTGGCGATAGGTATCAAGCGATTAGCAAAGCAAGAATAATGAAATGTATCAAACAGCAAACTAATTACCGCATTATCAAGCATTACCTTGTTTCGGCAATGGGAAAGGAATACCGAAAAAATCTTCGAAGTAATCAGTTATATTAACACCACCAATTAAAGCGAAATTGCCCTGATTGATAGTATCGGTAGTTGCCCAAACCCTTATCTAGATCCAATTTTAGTAAAATTTAGCTCCGCTGAGAAATTTTTAATTAATTTTAAATTGTATAAACAGGCAACATGAAACATAAAGCTGTTTACTATTTATGTTAACATACCGGTACTCTGTTTTTGGTCATCATTTCGATGTAAGTAAAATCGGCTAACACAAATGCAAGTAAGTACGAACTCATCCTAACACTGGCTGTAATAAATTGAAATATCGATCGTTAAGTACAGTTTCTATTTTAACAATAATAAAACAACGTATGCAAAGACTGAAATTTAATTACCAGGCTACATCAATGGTCAATGTATCAAGGTGACAATACAACCTGCAAAGTCTTTCTTTGTACTGTACTACGCTAGATATGAAGTATCGTTCACTAAACTTACTGTTGTAGTCATATCTTCTAAAACCAGGGCGATTAGGTATTGTAACATTTCTTTGAATTGGCATATTCCATAGAACGCTCGTATAATTTGATTGAGTAATGATTGTTGCTGTAAAATTGGCCTTCAATTCAGGCTCATCAAAGAGAGGTATAATCTTACGTGCGTCAGTTGGTTGACATTGGCTAGCTGCGATATTTCTAAATTGGAAAAAATAACATTGCATAAAATTTTAGAAATGCAACAAATTTACTTCACAATTGTTAGGATTTACAGCAACACATTGACGTAACGATTGCTTCCCCCTCAATTTTTTTTTGAATTCCGTCATTTCGATACTCGATTAACAAATTTAAAGTAACCTATCGTGCCGTTCGCATTCGCAACCCTACCCATCAAATACGACATAAGTAATTTCCCCTGCTTTAAAATAAACTCCATATCTAAAAATGAAGAGCCGCTTGTGCTACAATAATGATCACAACATTTGTTTTGGCACATGGCACTACGACTGGTGTTGACAACGCTAAACCGTAGTACAGTACAGTATAGTGAATTATTTACAGTACAGTACTTTGCGCGATTGTAATTTCGAAACTGGCCAATCAAATTCAGCTTCCAATTTACGTCACAGAGAGGCTGATTTGATAGATTGTTATTCCGTCGAGGACACGTTTCCTGTGGTCATGTAACCAGCATTCGGTGCGCACTTTTTAGAGCTCCAGTAGTAGGAAAAGGATTACAGCACGGTACTGTACACTGAGTGTACAGTACGGGCCTCATTTTAGAGCTCCAGTAGTACAGTACAGTACTGTACAATCATAGACTACTACAGTACAGTACTATATGTACAAAAAACACTGTAGACTGTAGTCCATGGTACTGTACTGTACAGTACAGTACAGTACTGTAAAAAAGACTTCTCCGATAGGGCAATACGGTACAGTGGAAAACTCTCTTTAAAATGAGAGTCTGGTGAATCAGCCG